GCTGAGGTCCGTTTCCAGGCTGGCCACAGGCCCTTCAGGATGGGGGGTCTGGCTGGGGTGCTTTTCCCATCTGGTTGAGGGGCTAATGGCTGGTTGAAGGCTGTCTAAACCCCCCAGCAGGGACCCTCACCCTATGAGGGTGAGGTCATCCTGGGTGAGGGGCTGATGGCTATTTGCAGGCTGGCCACAGCTCCCAGCCACCAAAGCTCCCAGTGGAGGAAGCAGGTATCTGGGATTTATTTGTCTTCTATAATTGAAACTGTGTTGCAATGAGTGGAGGCCACAGCCAGCTCAGGGCTGGCAGGAAGCTTGGCTTCCTCCATTGCTGGGGCCACCAAGCCTCCTGCTTGCTCCAGCTCCGTGGCCATCTTGGTTGGGTTAATTTGCATATGGTTGCTCTGATTGGCTGGTGGGCGTGGCTTAGGGCGTAGTGAAGGTATGGTCAATTAGCATCTTTGTCTTTTATTAGTGTAGATTTTAAGGCCATCAGAATGAGATTTATTTAGATGTAAATCTAAGTTTGGTATGCAATTATTTTCTGTTAGTTATCAAATTGTGATTTCCTTTTACTACACAGATATAGAGCTGACTATATTTAGTTAAGACCAAAGTTGTAGTTTGTAAAATCAGACTGTGATAGAACCTTCATTATCAAGTCCATTGCTTCTTTAAATATTATTTCTTATGCCAGAGCTAATTTATACCTGCATAATATAGCATAAAAAAGAAACAAAGATAAATACTGTATAAATGTGTTTAAATAATCATACCATTTTTTATGACTCAAGATTCATTTATATTGAAGTTGACAGGTATTAATTTATTGAAGGTATTATTTAACATCTCCAGAAGGTGTTTTATTGGCCTGCATATCTGTTTCTTTAAAAGTAGGGATGTTACATGTTACTTTTTTAATTATAAAAACCATATACACATGCATATAAGCATATATGTAGAGAGAAGAGTTTGGTTTTTATTTTTCCAGCCTTTTTCCAAACACATACAAAGATACATTAAATGTATTTGTTTTACAAAGATGGAATACACACACAATCTTATAATTTGCCTTTCCTCTTTGGATATCTGTCCATGTCAAGAAACGCAGATTACTTTTTGTTCTGTAGAAAATTTCTTAATTTTTATATTTTTTATTTTAAATGTTTTTATTTTTCTATTCTAGTTGACATAAAATATTATATTGGCTTCAGTACAATAGTGATTAGACACTTATATAACTTACAAAGTGATCACCTCAATAAATATAGATTACTTTTTTTGTCTGTGTGTAGACTGATTTTTTTTTTATTAATCTAGATTACTTTAAAAATTTTTCTTTGGGTAAAGATAAGCTCCTTTATAATGTTTCATTTTTTGTTTTGTTATTTAAAATTGTTAACTTCAATATAATTGGTATACCATATTATAATAGTTTCAGGTACAAGACTCATTTTTCCTTAATTGTTCTTGTGTTTGAATGTGGTAGTTACCCAGTGTTTGGATAAATTAATTATTAAAGGGAGGGTCTCTTTAATAGTGTCATTAATTTTTCAGCATTTCTGGGGAAGGATTTTTTTATATAAGATTATTATTCTCAGATGAAGAACACGATGACATAGCAGGGGTCCTCAAACTTTTTAAACAGGGGGCCAGTTCACTGTCCCTCAGACCGTTGGAGGGCCGGACTATAGTTTAAAAAAAAAACTATGAACAAATTCCTATGCACACTGCACATATCTTATTTTTAAGTAAAAGAACAAAACGGAAACAAATACAATATTTGTATTTGCATGTGGCCTGCGGGCCATAGTTTGAGGACCCCTGCTATAAAGAATGCCACATAGGATCCAATCTGTAGTGTCTCCAGTGTTTTTGATGGATGGTAATCACAAGGAACCTTTATGATTGGGCATGGTCTTCCCCTGTGGCACTCATTCCATCCTCCCAAAGACTAACATGAAGAATGGGGGAAATTATTGTAAGGATCCTTATGGCCAAAAGGGAAGTGGAATCTTGTGGAAATCTAATACAGGTATGATCGTGGCACTTCAAGGTGTTCTAAAGGCAGCTTGCATGAACATAATTCAGTTACTGTCCTTTGTCTTCTTTTTTATAACTTCCCATTGGTTTTCTTACCACTTTTTCTGCCTTACTGTTTTAGTTTATTCTTAATTTTTACTTGTTCATGGCCCCTTAATTCTACTTCATGTTCTTCCTCTAACAGTCCTTTCAACTCCCTCTACTTACAGGACTGATTCTTTCTACACTTTTGCAAATATTTCCAAATTTCTGCTAAAGTCTAATGCTTTCCATGCTGTATTTCTGGAAATATTTCCATATTTCTACATATAGTCTGATTGTTTCTATAGTTCTGAATTTTTGAAGATAAGATTCTGACCCATCTTATCCCTTTTTGGCTACATCTCTTTATGCCACACCTTCTCATAGGCTGCCGGTAGCACATAGGATGACTTCCTGTACTTTACCGTAGATGTTCATCCTTGTCCCAGTCAACTGTGAACCAGGATCAAAGGACAGAGTTGATGTAATAAAATATGGGCCTGAGCCCTCAGCAAGACTAGAGTAGGCCAGTTTCCCTTAGAATAGTCAGGCCATGTTGGCATTATCTAATGCATCTGTTAACCTGAAAATATTGCTAATGGGGAAATCAAGGCTAATGTTATAGTATATTTTAAAACATTTTTGTTATAGAAGCAGATTTAACTATAACAACATTTGAAAAATACAGAGAACCAAAAAGAAGAAAACATTTCCAGTCTCCCCAGCCACAGTGTTCTGAATAGTGTTATTTTTTAAATATGTTTTTAATTGATTTTTAGAGAGAGGAAGGGAGAGAGGTAGAGATATAGAAACATCAATGAGAAAGAAACATCATCGATTAGCTGCTTCCTATACATCAGGGGTCCTCAAACTACGGCCCGCGGGCCACATGCAAATACAAATATTGTATTTGTTCCCGTTTTGTTTTTTTACTTCAAAATAAGATATGTGCAGTGTGCATAGGAATTTGTTCATAGTTTTTTTTAAACTATAGTCCGGCCCTCCAACGGTCTGAGGGACAGTGAACTGGCCCCCTGTTTAAAAAGTTTGAGGACCCCTGCTATACATCCTGTACTGGGAATCAAGCCCATAAGGAGCCACACCTGTGGGCGGAGCATTGTTCTTTAGGTGTTTAGTGTTTAGGAAAAAGCAAAAGTGTTATAGAAGTTCAGGAAACCAAGAGATAATGATGATTCAGTGATAAGTGGTCAATAAACGGGGAAGGAAAATTTTGAGTTAGGTCATGATGTATACTGAGGATTTCATCTATATTGGACAGGGCAATCTAGAAAAGATGTAATAGAAGAAGATACATAGGTGAGAGGTCTGTGCTGTAGACAAAACTGTGAGAAGCTTTTATCTATCAGATTGGCAAAAATGTATGCCTTGTATGGGCTATGATGTAAGGGTATCAATAAGTACCCCTTCCTATTGATAGGAATGTAAATTGGCAAATCTTTTTCATAGGGCAATATGCCAAGATATATTAAAGTTTAGAGCATGCTGGCCATTTGCTTCAGCAATATCATTTCTAGAAATTAATTACACAGATGTATTCATGTAAGTATGCAAAGATAGATAATGTACAGAGAGTTTGTGTACGATTGCAAGTCTTTCTTTGAAAATTTAGTAGAACTTACTAGTGAGGTCATCTGGGTCTGAAGTTTCCTTTATGGGAAGAGTTTTGAGGATTAATTCAATTTCTTTAATGGTCATAGATATGGTTGATTGTAAATTTTCTTTTTCTATGTATTTATCCAGGAGTTTTAGTTTTCAGTGGGAAGGTTAATCCAAATACCTGGCCTGCCATATATCACTTCATATTACAACATTGAATTTAAGTGCATACAACTTTGAGTTTAATTCACATTTTTCAAAAATGCTTCTATAGCCATGGCTGGTGTGGCTTAGCTGGTTGGGCATCGTCCCATGCACCAAAAGGGTTGCAGGTTCGATTCCTGGTCAGGGCAGATGCCTGGGTTGCGGGTTTGATCCCCAATAGTGAGCAGGCTTGATCCACAGTAGAGGTCCTGTAGGAGGCAGCCAGTGGATATTTCTTTCTCATTTCTCTTTCACATTGATATTTCTCCCTCTCCCTCTTTCTCTGAAATCAATGAAAACATTTTTAAAAAGAGTCAAGACTTTGGGAGTTTTGAAAAAAAACACACACATAAAAAAAACCCCAACAAATATGCTTCTATTATAGTTTTTGTCCTGAATCATCAAGGACTAAATAAAAGTTTCTCATTTCCTACTGACATTATACATTTTATTTTCCAGCTACACCACCAACAACTACCATCACCACCACTACCACCACCACCACAACCACTAGTGAATTTACCTTCAGTCGAAAACCACCGATATCAACTGGGATTAAGTACACTATTCCAGTCGGTTTGGCTTCTATACCTTTAACTTCGACTGTTAAGTAAGCCTGTTATTTGAAAATGTGTGTGAGTTTAATTTTATTTATCATGTACAGGTATAATTTGTTTGTGCAGCTTTGGAATAGTATTTGAAAATTAAGTAAATGATTCAAGAGTTGAAGAAAATGTTAGAGAAAGGATTTTTGTAGTTTAGGAAGTTGAACAACTAACAGGATACTTTTGTCTTTGAATGCCATTATAATAAAATTATTGCTATTAGTAATAATAGCTAACATTTATTGTATAATTACTATATGTTTAGTAATTTGGCAATGCTTTATAAATATCATATTTAATCCTCACAGTAACCTTATGAGATAGGCACTATTTTTGTTTCCATTGTATAGATGAGAAAACTGGAGCACATAGAGATTTTACAATCTGTTCCTGATCACACATTTGGTAATGGTTGAGCCAAGATTAAAATTCAAGCAGTCATCCTGGCTGGTTTGGCTCAGTGGATAGAGTATCAGTCTGCGGACTGAAGGGTCCCAGGTTCGATTCTGGTCAAGGGCATGTACCTTGGTTGCGGGCACATCCCCAGTAGGGGGTGTGCAAGAGGTGTCTGATCGATGTTTCTCTCTCATCGATGTTTCTAACTCTCTATCCCTCTCCCTTCCTCTGTAAAAAAAACCAATAAAATAAAATTCAAGCAGTCAAACTCCAACGCCTGTATTCTTACAGTCTATATCATATTCCTCTCTAATTGTCCTTGTTTTTTAATTAACTTTTTATTTTGAGATAATTGTAGATACACATGTATCTCTAAGAAATAATACAAAAAAATCTGTATCTTTGTACCCAGTTTCCCCCAATAATAACTCTAGTACAATATCACATGTAGGATATTGACATTGATACAGTCAAGATAACAGAACAGTTCCATCACCATAAGGATCACTCTTGTTACCCCTTTATAGCCACACTCACAACCCTCCCTTCCCTGACCCTGGGCAACAATTAATCTGTTCTCCATTTCTGTAATCTTGACATTTTTAGAAATGCTATTCAAATGGAATCATACACAGTATTTGATATTTAGATATTAGTTTCTTTCAGTAGGCATAATTCCTTGAGATAAAGTTGTCACATACATCAATAATTTGTTCTTTTTTTATTTCTCAGTAGTATTCCATGGTATTGTGGATATACTATGGTTTGTATAACTGTTCACCTATTAATGGACATCTAGGTTGGTTCTAGCTTGGGACAATTATGAATAAAACTTTAATGAACATTGTGCACACTTTTTTTTGTAAACCTAGTCTATTTCTCTGAGATAAATGCCCAGGAGTATAGTTGATAGGTAGGATGGGAGGTGCATGTTTATTTTTTTTAAGGAACTGCCAAGTTCATTTTCAGAATAGCTGTGCCATATTACATGTCCAACAGCAATGTATGAGGGATTCAGTTTGCTCACATTCTTGTCAGGATTTGTTGTTGTCATTAGTTTTTTTATTTTAAACCTTCTAATAGATATAAAGATATCTTATTGTGGTTTTAATTTATATTTTCCTGCAGAATAATGATGTTGAACATTTTTTTCATTGTGTGCAATTTTTTTCTTCTGATTTTTTAAACAGAGAGTGAATTAACTATTTAAAGCGTTAAATTAAAGAAAATTACATCTTTATTATGGAATGTTATGCAGCCATTTAAAATAATGTAGAAAAAAAGAAAAACAACACAAAAACAAAATAATGTAGAAAATGTAGGTTCTATAAAGTGGCAACAAATACGTATCTATCAACAATTGAATCTAAAAATAAAAATAAATGAACAAGAGGAGAGAGACAAAATGGTGGCGGTATAGACTGAAGTGTCCTGTGCCTTGTCCCGGAGCAGATAGAGTGAGCAGCCGAAACGAGTAACATCCAGCCCGACTTGGCAGAGGAGATTCAGCTGGGAGACAGTTTGCAGCCGGGAAAGGCAGAGGACTCCTGGAGAAAGGTAAAGTCAAGGCTCTGGGAAGGATAATCGGCCAGAATTCTGAGCCCTGAGGATCAGAGGGAATCCACACGGCACGGGCTTGGGCTGTGTCCCTTGGGATGGGCGCAGTGGAAAAAAGGTGAGCAGAACTGCTGGTCGGCAGGGGATTCTAGATCTGGGTCCACAATCAGGAGAGGCTAAGGAGTGCCGGCAAAATAGCGGGCAGAGGTGCAGCCTTTCCCCCCCTCGCAGGGGATTCTAGATCGGGGTCCACAGTCAGGAAAGGCTGAAGAGTGCCAGCAGGAGAGGAGTGTGCAGAGATGCAGCCTCTCCGGCCTCTGTGGTTCGTGCCCTGCTTCATAGAGCCTAGTTCATAGGACCTTTCAGATACAGAAACTTACCCGTGGCTGGAGCGTGGAAGAAGGTGCGAAATTGTGGAATCTGGGGAGAGAGGGATATTCAGGAGTAGTGGCAGCAAGTGTGGTGCTGAGTCATGCCTGAGCCTGGGACCTGGGCAGCCATTTTGCCCTGAAGAGATAGCCCCTCCCTCAAGTATCCAGGCAACTAATGCAGCCACACCCAGATTCCACCCTGAATGGTAAAAAGGATTAAAAAACAAAAACCTAAATCCTGAGAGTCCAAAGGTACTGGCCATAAGAGAGACCTTCAGTCCCAGCAACAGTAAACTGAGAAACAGTACAGTACAGAAGACTGGGATCTTAAGCCAGCCAAAAGAACACTTCTCTTTTTCATTTTCATTTTATTTTTTTATTACTTTGTTATCTCTTTTTTTTTATTCCTGTTTTAGTTTGTTGCTTTATTTTATTATTTATTATTATTATTTTTGTTTATTTTTTTGTCTTGTTTGTTTGTTTCTTTATGTATTGGTTCTGTGGTGTTTTCCCCATACATGTATAATCTCTTTTTCTTCCTTCTTCTTTTCTCTCTTACCTTTTTCACCTCTTCGATATCATTTATGCTGTCTTTTCTTTCTCTTTTTTCAGGTGGTCACTTGTAGTGGGGTTATTGTTGCCGTGAGTACATTCGTGCTTTCGTCCCTTTGTGTTGAGTCTTGTCGAGGTGAATTTTATCCTGTCTGGCCAGATGCTAGAGAGTGAGCCTCATAACCAGACACCTGGAGAGGAAACTCCATCCACAAATGGGTAAATAACACCCCAGACCCAACTACAGAGGCAGGAAGAAGGCGGCAGTGAGGGAGAGAGCATGAGTGAGTGAGGGAGCAAAAGAGGAGGCTG